GGAATGGGGGATGGATGGAGATGGGGCAAAGGACAACTGTTTTCTTGTTATAAGCCTGATGGAATGACTTTAAATTATAAACATGAATAACATTGATTAAAAATTTTTAAAAATCCACTAGAAGTACATTTCAAAGAATCCATTTAAAAAATTATTCATAAATTGGGTCAAATTATACCTTAACATTAAATGGAAAGAATTTAGGTGAGGTAGAGTTCAGAGGATGGAGATTTTATATACATATTTATATTTAACATTTAACGTTACCCATACTCAAGTAATTCGGAATCAGAGATGCCTGTAGTCTTTTAACTTCAGCGGTACAGCGTATACCTTGAAGTGTTGTAATACCTAGAAACTACTTGACTTGGATTCCCTGAACGTTACGAGAAAAATTTCAGTGAATCTTTAGAACAAGTCCTCTTAAAATAAAACGTCTAAGGAGACACATATGGAAGTGAGTAGATGCACAATTTGGTTTCTAAAACTTATGCTGCATAAGAAAAAACAAATCTGCTCTTTAGTCTTTCTTGAAGTGAAGGAACAGAGATGTTTAAACAAAGACAATGAAACATAACTGTGGTGAAGGGTATACTGCTAATCAGGTTGATACATGTGTATTTGGTGGTTCTCCTTTATGGGCACAACATAAACATAACTGGACCCTAAAGAGAGATGTGAGAGGCTAAAATTTTAAGTCAGGTCAATATTATGCCAATCAAATTGCAAATAAATAATTAAAAAGGCATGCATATGAACATAAAATTTAAAGAAGAAAAAAATAAGAACATGTTTTTTAACTTAAAAAACCCATAAAACCTTGGAAGAGTGCTGGCCAATACACTAGCCACATGTGGCTGGCTATTGGGCAACTGAAATGTGGCTAGTCTGAATTGAGATGTACTGTACTCTGAAGACACAGTACGAAGAAAAGCATGTAAAATAGCTCAGTATTTTTTTCATACTGAGTGCATGCTGAAATGACTACATTTATATTGTGTTCAATATAGTATTAAAATAAATGTCACCTTTCTTTTAATTTTTTAATGTGGCTACTAGAAAATGTAAAATTACATATATGGCTTGCATTTGTGTCTCATATTATATTTCTGTTGGACAATGCTGCCTTATAACAATCCTGACTTACAACAGTCCTGACAAGGAAACTTCATAATTTTTAAGTCATCAACCCTAACCCTGATGTTCTCCATTTTTAAATCCTTCCTTTTGAACTACAAAGAACCTAGTTCTTTGACAATAGATGGAGACATAACATCTGACTGAAAAATATCTAATGCAGAGGGAGGGCTTTATTTCTAGAGGGGCTTCTTAATAAGATCCTCTGATTTTGGAGTCCATTAACTATCAATATATTTTATTCTTTAACATAATAGAAACATGCATCTAAATTTTAAAACCAAATATACATTACTTAAAAAATTTTAATCTAGGAAAGAAAGATTTAAAAACATGTTTGATAATTTTAATTCTGAAACTACAGTTTCTTTAAAGTTATTTGGGAAGATTATATGGCATCTATTTCTACGGCGATAACAGATCTTTGCAAATAGACACATGAAAGTTATAGAGACTATAAAAATGAACATCTACTGGAATAATTATGCAGACTCCCACCATGAACAGAATTCACACAGAACCCAGTACTAACAGTAAGTATTCTTTCAACAGTATTTATTGAGTACCTATGATGTGCCAGGCAATCTCTTTGCTATACAATAAGCAAAATCAGATGGGATTCTTGCTCTTGTGGAGCTTACGTTTTAATAGAGAAAAAGAAACATTACACAAATAAAGCACTACAGATGTGACAGGTGCTATGAGAATGGCTTATGGCACTGCAGCAGCATACGATCAGGGGCATCTAATCCGGTAGAGAGTGAGGGCAGGTTGTCCTAACGAAGATCTGAAGGATAAGGTGACCTTGACGGAGGGGCAGTGGGTGGTTGAGAAGGAAGAACCGCACATGGAGACTCAGGTGGGCCAGACCGTAATATCAATACTGATACTGCCTATTGGTATCCCTCTCAAGGCCCTGGAAGGCACCGAAAGGCAATGGGAAGCAGAAGAGGTGCATCTGATTGATCACTTCTAATTTCTGAAGGGTCCCCTTGGACTCAGCATAGGAACTGATGTCTTGGATTGTGGTGAAGATGAAGAGAAATGAAGGGACATAAAAGCTCAAAACAGGCCTTGGTCATGGGCTGGATATACAGAGGGCCTGTGGGGAAGGCTGTAATGACTCCAAGGTTTCAGGCTTCTATGTGACTGTTATTCCCTAAACAGGCTGGGAGCTGAGGCGAGGTCTGGGACAAAGAGAGGCCGAATGCTGCTGATAGGTTCATTGAGACAGTAAGTGGTCATTTTAAAACATGACCACTGGATTTAATCATAGGAGGGTAACTAGATGTTTAGATGGGAGGATGGGTGAGGAGTGAGTGGGAAGCAAGAAGATGGGGACAGTGAATATGGACCACTTTTCCAAGAAAAGGCTCGCTGTGAAAGTAAAGAGGGCTAGAGTTGAAGGGGTGCTGGGGGCAGGGGTCAATGGAGAGGGTGTTTTTCTAATGGCAAGAGAAATTTAAACTTGAAAAAACTGATGGGAAAGATGTGGTTGAGAGAAAAGGCTAAAGACAGGAGAGAAAATAAGTGAACAGGATTGGGTTGTTAGAAGGTGGAAGGGGATGCAGAGGTCCAAGGATTGGTCTTAGGCAGGAGAGGGAACTTACTCCTGCAAAAGAAGGGAAAGAAGAGAAAATGGGTACCCTCTTCTGCTTTGATATGTCTGAGCTTTTTCTTTTTTCTTTGAAGGAAAAAAAGGAAGCTTAAGGAAACAGGATGTTTTCAGGCCTCTCAATTTATACTGTCTACAATTAAGGTAAATATATAACTTTATACCCTATGTTTGGTTTGAGATAAATAAGAACCAAACCAGTAAGTGTACAGATTAAGTTTACATATATAAGTGTCAATTTTGTTTAAACCTGGATGTTCATTATGGGACTACAGGGCTGCTGCCCATTACCTGGAGAAACTGCTGTATAAGATACACCAGACACATTCCGGTTAGGAACCTACCATCGTTCAATGTGGAGAGATGAAAACGTCCGTGACGCTGCTTCTCGAGTTAATAATTTGAACCCACACTGTGTGTCCCTGATTCCTTTTACACAAAGGAACCACACCAGAAAGTGGAACCCATACATGAGAAGAGTACGGAAGTAAGAACGCTGAAACAAAGACAAAATATAAATGACTTTTCTATTTATCTATAAAGGAGACATTGAAAACACCTGGCTGTAGACAACTGCAACTTAATACTTAATTGACTGGGTAGATCATGAACGCCATTGTTCCATTAGCTGCATGGGCAAAGTCTATTCTAGAAACTGTGAGGACGCCTAATGCTTGGAGCTGGACAGAGGCTAGAAAAGTAGTTACTCACTTCCTGGAGGTGGAGTCAGACAAGAAGAATCACAGTGCCTGTGAGAGTCAGGGCTTCAATGTGCCAGAAATATACCACAGCAGTTGGAGGGCTGGTCTGAGCCAGGAAAACATCTCATTCACCTTATATTTTGTGCCCCAAACACACTTCAGTTTCAAAAAATGGTGAGTTACCAGAATATCTTGGAAAAATGAAACACTAAGATTTCAACCTGAGGTATGATACCTAGCTAATGAGACTGTGACAGAAAAGGTACAGCAGAGTGTCACAGACTAGAAAGGAGTTTGAAACAAAAACCCAGTGTCTCTAACTATGACAGATATTTCTGACTAAATATATTTTAATAGGAAACTTCTTTAATACATTGGATATTAAACTTAAGTAGTCTAATCCTATCTGAGAATTCACTATTGTTATTAGTCATTAATTTTATTATTAGTAGTAACATGACATATATTCCATTATTCATTAAACAATGCAAACTTAAAAAAAATCATTATCACTGAATTCAAGACTTTCATATTTAGGATTAAAAAAAGATAAGGTCTCTTAAAGTTTTCTATAATTATGGTAATAGACCCATGGAATGATATATTACATATGCACATAAGCAAACCAGTAAGAGTCTATGCAGAATATTTACTATCTCATCCTACTAAATAAATGTCCTTTCCTCCTTTTGGATATTCTTTTTCATTATTGTAATCTTCAGTATTTTTCTTTATTCACATGTCTTTTTCTATCACCATGGAACAAAATCATGACTCAACAGTGAAAAAATGGTGGGAGAAAAGCCATGGAAATGAGCAGGCCTATATTTGAATCCTGGCTCCATTAATAATTAGCAGGCTGTGTGTGGGTTTCCCTGGTGGTGCAGTGGCTGAGAATCCGCCTGCCAATGCAGGGAACATGGGTTTGAGCCCTGGTCCGGGAAGATCCCACATACTGCAGAGCAACTAGGCCCGTGCGCCACAACTACTGAGCCTGCGCTCTAGAGCCCGTGAGGCACAACTACTGAGCCTGCGTGACACAACTACTGAAGCCCACGTGCCTAGAGCCCGTGCTCCGCAACAGGAGAAGCCACCGCAATGAGAAGCCCATGCACCACACGAAAAGTAGCCCTCACTCGCCGCAACTAGAGGAAGCCCGTACACAGCAACAGACCCAATGCAGACAAAAATAAATAAATAAATTAAAAAAAAGATGATTAGCAGGCTGACGTTGAACAAGTTACTTCTACTCTCTAAATCCCACTTTGCTCATCTAGAATGAAAATGCCTGCCTCACAAAGGTACTGTAAAGTTTAAATGAGATAATATTAAAGCCTTTAACCAAGTGTTTGGTACAGGAAGTAACAGAAACTTAATAAAAGCTTTTAATAAGGGAAGAAGGCTTGAAAGCTCACTTTAACCTCCTGACCACAGTTTCACTTGTGTATTAAATAGGGCAAGAAGGGAAGGAAGAATAAAATACTTATCTATAGGGTACGTAAAACAAACTCTTTGAAAAGCTCTAGCACTTCTCACTGACCACCTAGAATGATTAGTTATGTTTTGATGTAAGTATGTCTTACCTCTCTAAGCAGATAGGGCAGAAACCTCATCTTAAAATACTTTGGGAATCTCACAACAGCTTGCTCAGTGCCTTTCATTTAAAATATTTCCAATAAATACCGGTTGACTGATTAAACCTCCAAAAAAGCATTTATGCTTAGGAAAGGAACAAATAGAAATCGAAAGACAGAAAAATTAAAATTGGGCTTCCCTGGTGGCGCAGTGGTTGAGAGTCCGCCTGCCGATGCAGAGGACGTGGGTTCGTGCCCCAATCCGGGAGGATCCCACGTGCCGCGGAGAGGCTGGGCCCGTGAGCCATGGCCGCTGGGCCTGCGCGTCTGGAGCCTGTGCTCTGCGGCGGGAGGGGCCACAGCAGTGAGAGGCCCGCGTACCGCAAAAAAAAAAGGTAGAAAAATAATACCTATAAACTATTCTCCTTGAATGATTTTTAACACGATTTAGATGAGCTTACTAGTAACCAAATAAAAATATTCATGACTGCTTTTGCTTGGATGTTAATAGAAGATTTTTGTTTTAGGATAATGGCTATTTTTTTTAAAAAACAAACATGTTGAGTTCACATGAGGACTTTAACTTATTTGATTTCTAACATATTGAAAAGCATAACAATATAATCTACAAGCAACTGGAACTTTCTTTAATTTTTAAAACTTGGCAAAATATCTTAGAATTTAGAAGACATCTAAAAACATACTACAGGATAGACTTATTTAGTTAAATGAAGGTAACAAAGTCATAGAATAGCATTATATGAACTTCTGAAGTAGATATTTAAAAACATTCACTGCTTTAATATTAACAATCATCTCTAATGTTTATGAAATGTAAACAAGGAATTCAGGTGAAATTTAAAGCTGACTGGTAATTTTATTATCTTAAAAAGAGAAGTTAAAGAAGTCCTAAGACTTAAGCAGACTCTTCAAAAAAAATCTAAAGAGATCAAACAAACAGTAATGGATTCTACTTTAAATCATTTAAAAATGATAAATTTGAGAATACCCAGACAATATAAACATGACTGTTTTAACTGTTATACAGAACACATGGGCATATGAACACTTTTAAGGATGCCTGAAAGACTCCAATGGTGCTGTATCATGCATGTTTGTCTTCCAAGAGAGCAACAGAACAGACAGTAGGATTAACTGAGAATATGTGTAAAGGTATTTAGGACAGATAAGACTGAAAACTACACAGTTAAGCTACTGAAGTTGCTGTTTACTATCTTGGTTAATTAATACTTTTATAATTTTCTCACTGTCCACAGATCGATCACCATGCTGGATTTATATTACCTACGGCACATTAAGAGAACACCCTAATTATGGCTGAGAAGTGGAAGGCCACGCTGCAGTTTCTTGGACACGTGGCAGATGGTTGTGTTGCCCCTTGGAGATGACCTTCTATAAGACAGGTATAGTTCTGTGAGAATCATCTGGACTTGAACTACAAGCCTACTCAGCAGGAGTTATACGTAGCATCTGCAGAGGACAACTGCTGATCTCTAGTCAGTGGACCAATTTACCCTTTCTTTCTAGAGTAGCAGCCAATTCTGTAGGGTCCAAAAGCACTATGTCAGTAACTAAGTTTTACAGATGGACGAATGGATGGATAGATGACAAGGTAAATTATAAACGCACAGATCCTGGAATAGATCCCTTGATGACTGGTTAAAAGCATCACTAGGTAAAAGAAGGTTCAGACCATAGCACAGCCTCATCTTACTATTCTGGAAAAAAATTCAAAGAGTTTTCAACCAATGGAAGTTCTAAGTGAGAGAATTTGCACCGTTAAAAACAAAATCAAAAACCACAGTTCTTTTCTACTGCCACCAACAATACAGGTCCCAACTATTTCTTGCCTAGATTACTTCAACTGCTTCCTAATTACTGCCTCCTATTTCTCCAACTCTTTTTCCTTTCCAAGTAGATAATCCTCTTTTCCCCTATCTATATACATATTTTAAAAAAGGACCAAATTTACTTACAAAAGCCTTAAATTAACATCAGTCTATTTTCATTAAGTGTTTTTACACAAACAATTATACTGTATTTACAATATCATACTGTTTTTTCTCCATACAACCTAATATTTTAGTATTTCCCAACATGATTATACAGTCTCCATTATCATCTATTTTATCACTGCATGACATTTCATCCAGGGGAAATATGTACACTTTCTAGTGTTGGGATTTAGTATTTTATAGTTTCTAGTATTTCACAATGATAGATAATGTGCTGAACATTTTGCACATACACTTTTTCTTTCCTTATCTCTTGTGTATCAGTAAAGTGATGAAGTTGGACTAGCTAATCTCTAAACTCTTTCAGTGTTAAATTTCTAGGAGTTTGATTCTCTATGGTTAACAGATTAACCTTTTTGAAACACCAATAACAGTCCATAGGGTTATAGAGTTACATTTGGACTAGATGCTGAAGATGTTAAAATAATTTATTTCTTAAAAAAAGGAGGGGCTTCCCTGGTGGTGCAGTGGTTGAGAGTCTGCCTGCCGATGCAGGGGACACGGGTTCGTGCCCCGGTCCAGGAAGATCCCACATGCCGTGGAGCGGCTGGGCCTGTGAGCCGTGGCCGCTGAGCCTGTGCGTCTGGAGCCTGTGCTCCGCAACAGGAGAGGCCACAACAGTGAGAGGCCTGCGTACCGTGAAAAAAAAAAGAAGCAAAAAACGGAAAGTTCAGGTTTCCACATTTGAGCAAAATCCTTAAGGGATTTTATGACTCTGCCATCAGTATATCTTGGGAAAAAAATTAGAATTTTTTCATGTCCTATTTCAGAATCACTAAGGGAAAGGTTCAATCTTTTATTCTGCTGGTTCTCAAACTCTGGTATGCATAGGGTGACCTGGGAAACTGTTAAAAAGGCACATTCCTGGTCCTGTGGCTAGAGCCTGACTTAAGTGTCTGGGATTGGCCTAAGAACATGCATTAAAGGAAAAACAAATAAACGAAACACCCCAGATAATTTTGACCTTGCACTGAAAATATGGCTTTATTCTTGATCTACTTGACCAATCTAGTAGATGAACTGTTAAGAATATAATGGACAATTACAGAGCTTGATACATTAGGTCTACGTTTTTAAGTGAAAAAATAATTAAAATAAACAATACTGCATAGAGTAGTTCCTTATTATATTTTTTTCCTCAAAGTTGCTCCAGCTTCTTAGCCTAACCTGTAAATTACAAGCTGAAGAAGTTCATGTCTTCAGTGATTGTTCTGAATATACTAAAGGGGCAGCACAGCTTTACAAATCTGAAGGTATATGCTTTTCTAAGAGGAATAGTTAAAAAAAATTTAAACTTTGAATAAAACTTAAAATATAGTACTTAAGTGTGCTGACATGAGAAAAACTAAAGGCAAGTTGATAGGTTCAAAAATGAATCATTTGGAGAAATTTGCCTTATATAATAACTGAAGGGGGACTCTCTTTGTGTCTTAAAAAAAGAGCTGCTTGTATCCACAATCAAAGTGAAGTCTACATCCTCCCTGTATACTCATGAAAAAAAAAAACAATCAATTCCTAAATATGCTAATCCTTTCTTCTGAAAGGAACCTCATCATTATGAGATTAAGTATGAAAGCTTATCTCATGCTAATGTATATGTAAAAAAGGAAAAAACTGATCCATGATGAAAGCCTCACCTGAGCAATTGATTCTTTTTCCAAATGAGCTCGAGATCCACATGCAATAGCCATTTGATCCTGAGGAAAAAAGCAATGAAATAAGTATCATTAATAAAAATATTTATTTTCAATGTGAATACCTCATTTTTTAGAAACTATTTTTTTAAAAAGTAACATTAGATATCTTTAAAGGTTTACTGAGGAATTCAGAATATGTACAACTTAAACAACTCTAATTGTATTTACCAAGATGACACTATTCAGGGCTAAATATAAGAGGCATGCATTATTTCAAAAGTCATATATTTAAGTGATTTTTCTAATTGAAAATACTGTATCAATATAATTATAAGAAAAATTAGTAGTATTAGAAAGAAAAGGGTTATCTGTAGATGGTATGATTTTTTTTTTTTTTTTTTTTTTTTTTTTTTTGCGTTACGCGGGCCTCTCACTGTTGTGGCCTCTCCTGTTGCGGAGCACAGGCTCCGGACGCACAGGCCTAGCGGCCATGGCTCACGGGACCAGCCGCTCCACGGCATGTGGGATTTTCCCGG